CAGGCGGACGCCCAACCACTGCGCCACCAGGGAAGCCCTACTTCCCTTTTTTTATCTTCAGTTTTCTCTGATGTGGAAGTTAATACCTACAACCAGGATTTTGTTTTTGTAAGATTAGAGGAGATGATGAATGTAAGTGCATATCACTTATAACATTTAAAATAGAAACAGAGAAAAATAGGTTAATACAAGTAAAATACACAGAACTCCAGTAGATCAATAAAAAATACATAAAGAACATAAAAGGAAAAATCAAGAAAGGATATAAACAGGCAGCTCACAGAAGAAGGAATGTAAGTGTTCATTAAACATGTAAAAATGTTCAACCTCACCAGTAATCAGGGAAATTAATTATAAGTACTTTTAGCCATTAAACTGTTAATGAGAATGTAAGTTACTATAACCTTTTTGGAGCATAAAGTTTACCTGTTAACATTTTTAAATGTGTAATCCTTTGACCTAGCAACTCCTTCTTTATGATTAGAATCATTCAGAAATATTTGCACCTATGCATAGAGTCTCTCACACACACACATGCACACAAAGATATGGACTGTAGCAGTGTTGATAATAGCAACATTTTTTAATTTAAATAACTAGCAATTTGGAAGTAGTCAAATAAGTTATGAGACATTTATACAGGGAGACCTAACACAGCTATTTGAAGAATGGGTTTTATATGAAGAACATATAAAGATGCCTACAATATCTTTTTTGGGCTGAAAAAAAAAATCCAAGTCACAACTATAAGAAAAGGGCAATAAGTAGAATTTCATCTTCCAAGCAAAATCTCTTGGTGCTGTTTTTGAAAAATTGTAATGTTTTAAGCTATACTAGTTGCTTTCCCAGAGTTGGAGAAGGAACAGACTAATAGTTCTTGCATTCTGTAATTTCTTCCAGATGTGAAAGGGTTAGGTAAGGAGTTCAAAGGAAACATGTCACCAAAGCCAGCTCTCAGGGTGGGTTGCCTCCATGTCCTCTGACCCAGTCAGAACAATTCACTCAGTCACTGGGTCTTTACTGAGTGATTATGCTGTGTCAGTCCTATACTTAGTACCAAGGATATAGTGATGAAAAAGGCATGGTCCCCCGACATAGTCCCTGACTAGACTCACGGTAATAGACACAGATGCTAAATAAGTAGAATCATGTAACAGTCACACAGGAGGTGTGGTTATGGGATTCGAAAAGAGAACAACCAGTGGTAACATACCGCATCCATCGCCGTGAGGAGCAACAGTCATGCTCATAGGTGATTGGTGGGAGCGTGAATTGATACAAGTACTATGAAAAGGAACTTGGCAGGATCAATCAAATGTCATATAAATGTTCACATTTCTTAGTGAAGAGTTAGCTGCTTGTATAAATTATGGAGTGGTCATAAAATGGAATGCTATGAAACTGTTTTTTAAATGAGGCAGCTCTATATGAATTGACAGAGATAACCTTTAAGAGCAGAACAGTAAACAACCTGGCATTCTGCATCTGTACTTTTGTTTTGTTTGTTTGTTTGTTTTTTGCGGTATGCGGGTTTCTCACTGCTGTGGCCTCTCCCGTTGCGGAGCACAGGCTCCAGACGCGCAGGCTCAGCGGCCATGGCTCACGGGCCCAGCCACTCCGCGGCATGTGGGAATCTTCCCGGACCGGGTTACGAACCCGTGTCCCCTGCATCGGCAGGCGGACTCTCAACCACTGCATTTGTACTTTTAAAAAAGATACTTTATATATACGCGCTCGTGTGCACAAACCGTCAGTTGTAACTTAGTGGTTAAGACTGTGGACTGTGCACTCAGACTGCCTGGGGGTTACATCTTGGCTGTACTCCTCACTGTGTGAGCTGTCATTTAACTGCGTTGTGCCTCAGTCTCCTCACCCGTAAAGAGGAAATAACAGTGGTACTAATGTCATAGAGTCTATATGAGAATTAAATGATATTTTTTAAAGTGCTTAAAACAGTGCCTGACGTAATGCATTCAGTGAACGCATTGTTATTATCTCTAGAAAAGTATAAGAGAAACTAGTCACTACGATCACTTCAGAAGAGGGGAACTGGGGATAGGGACCCTTTTCGACTCTGTACTCATTTGTACCTGTTCAAATATTGTTTTAGAGTACAAAGAAATTAGCTACCCCTCTCCCCCCAAGAGGCCACTGCCATAATCTCAGTAGAAGATGACTGGGGCTTGTGCTGAGACAGAAGCAGCTGGAGTGGGGAGAAGACGAAGGATTCAGGGCATGTTTAAGTACAATAGCCTAGACTTGTTCCCTGTTGGCTCCAGGAGGTGAAGACGAGGAAGAGTCCAGGGACAGAAAGAGTTTCTTCAAAGAGAGGAGCATTGTCAAAACCCCTTCTCCTTGGAAAACTACTAAAATAGTAATCCATAAAATTTGACTTACCCGGGCTTCCCTGGTGGTGCGGTGGTTGGGAGTCCGCCTGCCAATGCAGGGGACACGGGTTCGTGCCCTGGTCCGGGAAGATCCCGCGGAGCGGCTTGGCCCGTGAGCCATGGCTGCTGAGCCTGCGTGTCAAGAGAGGCCACAACAGTGAGAGGCCCGCATACCGCAAAAAAAAAAAAAAATTGACCTACCGGCCTTTGTTAAACTGATTACATCAATGCTGTTTTTATTCTCCAGAATTAAACTGTAGTTAAACTATGTCTTTGAAGCAACTGCCCTTCCTTTGAATTTCAGGCCATGAAAGGCCCCTGGCACTATAGATTTGAATTTCGACGCCTCCGGGTCCTTGAATCCTCCCATCAGTAAACAGACAAACCTGTGATTTGTCTGGGTCTATTCTTTGCTTCACTGTGTCTTAAATCTCTTAGGCAGGGGCTGTATAGGCATGTTATTGTTCCCTACAGAATCTGTGAAATTGATAGCAACCTTTAAAAAAATGTATCCCCTTTTATAATTAGGAAATCAGTGATTGGAGGGATGATGGCTGGTGTGGTTGGCCAATTTTTAGCCAACCCAACTGACCTAGTGAAGGTTCAGATGCAAATGGAAGGAAAAAGGAAACTTGAAGGAAAACCACTGCGGTAAGTTCTCCAACCAATGGGTAACTTTCCTTTCCCCCTTGAACATTCCCTAATGACATGCATTTTTGTAACCCAACATTCAGTAAAGACATTAATTCTGACTCTTAATTTGGAAGTGGTATTCACTAAGGGGAGAGGTGAGATGGACCTTTTCTTTGCCTGATAAGGTGTACATGTTCTCTACCAGACAAATTGTACATATGCATCGCTCTTTGCTGCTTTCCCAGACAAGGCGGCTAGATTTGTCCCCATTGCAGCTTGAATATAAAGAGTCTGATCACATTAACAGTTGCCCTGGTGTGAATTCTGATTCTGCCAGTGTGGCTTGGCATTGTGGAAGTCACTTAACATTTCTAGTCTGTGTCTTCATCTTTAAAAGGGACTGTCTCAGATGGTTTCCATGACAGAGTGCCTGGCTCATCAGGTGCCAGAAAGCTTGCTTTCTTTCCCTTTCTCTCTGAAGGAAGGGAAGTAGCAAGGTGAACCTTGCAAATTGTTCCTACTTTTCCCTAATTTCGCTCCTCTTTTCCCAAGTTTTTATTATTATTATGCTGTTGTGATATAAAATCCTCCTATTGCACTACCCCGTATTGTCGAAGTCTGCCTTTCTTCAAAGGGCCTCTTGTTCAACAATTTACTAAAATACCACTTAGGGCAGTTTCCCCTGGGAAAGGGGCACATCTTGCAGATAGATAGACAGACCTCTCCCAGGAAAGAGGAAAAGTGCAGGATGCCCTGAGTTGAGTATGAAGGGGTCTGATCCTCTGAACACTGCGGGTGTGCCACTGAGCCAGAGGTCAGGGGGGGTTGGGGGCCTCCTTTGGAGGTTCACCACGATCACTGCCCTCCGCTCTGCTGCTCCTCTGGCTCACTCAGTGGAAAGTGGGGTTGGGCTGTGGCAGTCCAGGCCCCCTTCCCAACAGGGAGATGAGTAACATGTACAGCAGAGGAGAAAAAATTACCGCGCTGGCTTAACCAAGTAGTTGACAGAATCCCAGGACCCGTTTTGTCATCCTGTAACAACTTCTCATTACTATGTAGCAGGGTGAAGTAATGTTGCCTTGGTTTGATACATGGAGAGAAGGAACCGTTGGGGTCCAGCAATGCCTGAGTTTTAACTGATCACCTCAATGTTTTTCCTTCTCTGTCTCTAATGTTGGACATTTTGGGTTTGATATAGTAGGAAAAAATATTTAATGTTGTAAAGAGTATGAACCTTGGGATCCGACAATCTGGGATTCAAATCCAGCCTTTGCCACATTTTAGCTCTGTTACCCTAGTCAAGTTCCTTAACCTCCCTAAGCCTCAGTTTCTTCAGATGAAAATTTGAATAATAATACATACTTCATAGAGTTTTCAGGAATAAATTGTATCTTATGTATATAAAAAGTCTGGTGCTTAATAAGTGCACAATAAATGTGCACTTGTTAACGTGACCTCATTCGTGAGCGTATTTCTTAAATAGCATAATAGCAATTATGAACGTCCTTCTTTTTGGTAAGACTCAGAGAGTTTAATGCCTGAGTAAAAGCCACACAGCCAGTAAGTAGTAAGATGGCATTTGACACCAGGTATGTCTGACTATATAAAACCCAGGCTTTTATTTTATATCATAGGTTTCCACATTCGGTTCATGGTTCAGCACCATTTTTCATCTGTGTGTAGAAAAATGTGCAAAATAAAGGCAAGGTAATAATTTTTCATAAAGCCCAAAGTATTCAGTTTTAAGAACTCTTATGAAATTGTCCTTCCTACTTTTTGGTCTAAAAATATCACTTCTTTTATGAGATGATATGAGAATTGATTTTTTTTGATGTTGTTTGGTAAAATTACAAAATTTGAAGGTCTCCCACAATACTAGTAAAATGAACTCAGAGGTCTGATAACCACTATTCCTGCCTGTAGTTAATATGGGCACAGATGATGTAAAATATCAAGAAAGGAGTTTTAATCTGTTTAATAATCTGAGAAGAGGATGTCACAGTTTATAAAGATCTCCATAAAAAATGTTTAAATCAAAAGTTGGCCTTTTTTTTCTAAAGAACTAATAAGTTTATCTGGAAATTAGACTTAACATGGATTGCTTTAATTTCTAACAATTCTAGATAGTTAAGATGTTACTTTACTCTAAATCATAACAGCTATAGGCAAAGCTTATACAATTGCATTCCAAACACAGGAACGCATAGAGTTTTCACATTTATTATTATTTTCCTTTAGATTTCGTGGTGTGCATCATGCATTTGCAAAAATCTTAGCTGAAGGAGGAATACGTGGGCTTTGGGCAGGCTGGGTACCCAATATACAAAGAGCAGCGCTGGTGAATATGGGAGGTAATGGAAACTTCGTTGAATTCTGCGAAGTCCTAATCGCCTTCATCATTTTAATTATAAGCACTCCATCGGGGAAAATGAGAATATGTATTTTATTATTTTTAATAATATGTACTGGCAACAGCCTTCCCTTATGTTGTAATGTCATAATTGAATATTTTCCCTAGAATATTTTCACTTTATTCTGTGATGATGTATGAAAAGGATTTCCTAAAACTAGCAAATTGTGACGATAAGGAGATAATACCAAACCATTTCTAAGGGCTACACTCCACACCATACCTTCCTCAGATTCAAACTGGTATATGTACCGTATGTGATGGTCATTAAATGCAGACTACAAATTACCCCAGTAATCCTGCTCCTCTTGCTGTATAATCCATTCTGTACAGCGGGGCACCTCAGGCTGGAAATCTGAATGTTTCCTTAACTCATCCCCATCTCTCGCTTCCCATATTCAGTCATTAATTTCTCCTATCTTTTAAATATTTCTTAAATGCCCCCCCGCCCCGCAGTATTATGCTACGTGAAATAAATCAGACAGAGAAAGACAAATACCATGTGATCTCAATGTGGAATCTAAAAAACAAAACAAAACAAAATGAAAACAGACTCATAGATGCAGAGAACGAACAGAAGGTTGCCAGAGGAGAGGAGGGTAGGAGGCCAAAATAGGTGAAGGGGATTAAGAGGTACAAACCTCCAGTTATAAAATAAATATGCCACAGGGATACAGTATAAGGAACTATTACAATAATATTGTAATAACTTTGTATCAGGACCGATGGTTACTAGACTTATTGTGGTGACCTTTTTATAATGTATGCACATGTCAGATCACTATGTAGTACACCTGGAATAACCATAATATTATACATTAACTATATTTCAATTAAAAGAAAGTTTCCCCCCTCAATGTCTACTACCTTAGTATCCTTAAAATGACTGTTTTTACAGTAGTAACCATCAAAACACAACTAGACCACTGCCACAGCCATCTAACTGGTCTCTTCCTCTGCCCTCAAATTTGTACCCAGTATCCATCAAGCTTTATCTAAAATACAGATCTGAACATGTTATTAGTATCTCTAAAACCCTTCACTGGCTTCTTATCACTCAGAGAATAAAGTGGAAACTTCATAACATAACACAGCAGGCCTGTATAATCCAACCTGTGTCTTCTGGGGTTGAGCAATTCATTGACTCTGGAGCAGAGAGGGAAGCAGAGTCAAGAGGTGAAATGTTCCACTGCCCGCACACACCAAACTCTTCCTCACCTCTGTACTCTCTGTCCTCAAACGTCTTACTCTGTTTAGTTTTCTTCTGCAGATCATTTCATACGTAGCTGAGGTGTCTTCTCCACCCGTGTACTTTACCCAGACCTCCTGCAGCCGCCCCTCCCAGGTCATGGTGTGTTAGATGCCCCTTTATGTGTTTCCATAGTTCCCCGTGCTTATCTCTGTTACTGGTTTTACCTCATTTCTTTGCTTTCTACTATGTGTCTATCTCCTCCTCTAGATTTTGAGCCCCCTGAAGGCAAGGACTATGTTTCATTTTTTTTTATTTCCCCAGTGCCTCATACATAATCAACGAACATTTAATGAATGAATCAGTGGATGAAAGACTCCTAAGACCAAAATTATATGGTTCTAAGAAACTGATAAATAGCATTTTTGAGAGGTATAGTAACATATCACTCAAACATCAAAGGGAATAAATCTATTTTATATACTGCTATTTCAGTCCGTTGATGTCTGCTGCATCATATTGGTGGATATTTTGGTTTTCAGAAAACCTTTCAGATTGTCGTTCTCAATTCATTGCTTCAAAATCTACTGCAGCCCAGATTTCTCTTCCAAGTTCCAGCTTATCTTAAATATATCACTTTGAATGTGTCCAAACCAAGCTCATTTACTAAATCACTTCCTTCCCTGTTCTTCCCAATCTCAAAATATGATATCATCTTTTTAGTTGAACAACCCAGAAACCTGGGCCTGATTTTGATCTCTTTGCTTTCACTTGCTCCTTACAGCCAACCAGTCACCAAATCCAGCCAGTTCTGTCTTGCATACGTATCTCAAGTTCATCCACTTCCCTTCATCCCTGAAGCCACTGCTTTGTCCAAGTAGTATTGATCTTCTCCTACTGGACCACTACAAATGTCTCCTAACTAGTCTCCCCACATACACCCCACAGCCATTTTGTCCCCCTATGCATCTGAAATTTTTCTCATCAGGATCACCGGTGCCTATCATCTTACTTTAAAACATTTAAATTAGTCCATTCTCATTTTCCCATCTCCATAAATGGCAGCTGTGTCCTTCAAATTGTTCAAGCTCAAAACCTTGCCGTCATTTTTGCTTCCTTTCCTTCCCTCCATATTCAATCTGCTGGCCAATCCCTGTTGATCCTGTTGATTCTGTCTTCAAAACACCCGAACTCTGACCAGCGCTCCACAATGCCTTTATGCAAGGCGCCATCATTTCTTATCCAAGCCGCCATCATTTTTTACCAGAAGAACCGCAACAGCTTCATATCTAATCTGCCTTGTCTCCTGATGGTCTGCTCTTAACAGAACAGCCAGAGTGATCTTGTAAATAGTGGCCCCGGTCAGTCATTCCTTTGCTCAAATCACCCCCTTCTCCAACTCTTGCTGCCTCTGCTCCTGTTAAACTAGTGTTCTTGCTGTTCTTCTAACCTACAAAGCTGACTTTGCCTCAGGGCTATAACACATACTGTGGCTCTGCCTGGGACGCTTTGTCAGAGATATCTACAAAGTATACTTTCTCGAGCTTCCTTAAGGTATCTGCTCAAATATTATGGCGAGGTCTTCCCTGATCACCCTATTTAAATTCACATACACCAACCTTCCCCACCCTCACACGCTCGCTGTCCCCTCTCCTTGTCTTGTCTTCAGAGCAGTCACTACCATCCGAAATGCCATGTGTTTACTTACTTGTTTATTGTCTCAGCCTCCAACAAAGAATGAGGATTTTGTTCATTTTGTCCACGGCTCTTTCCCCAGAGCCTAGAATAACGCCTACCACATAGCAGGTGCTCAGATATCGGGTGAATGATCAAATGCATCTACCCATTCTCACCTCTTTCCAGTTCCCTTCTCTGTACTTTGGTGTATGTAATCTTTACAAAAGTCCAGTATTGTGATCTATCCCTCCCCTGTTTAAAACCCTTCAACAGCTCTTCATTGTCATTAGGAAAAAAGTATACAAAACTTAATGTAGAATAATGACCAGGACCTTTTGTTTAAAGTGACAGAATCTCAACTCAACCTAACTTAGGCTAAAAAAAGGAATTCATCAGCTCCAACACTGAAAAGTGCAGGGGTTGAACTGACTTTAAGCAGAGCTGGATTCAGATGTTCAAATGATATAATTGGGTGTCTGTCTCTCTTCCTCTTTTCCTCCCCCTCCATCTGCTTTCCTCTGCTTGAGAACAAGAATGGGATCTTTCATCCTTCTACACATTCCTGCCCCATTCTTAGCACATTCTTGACACAAAAGACATTCATTGTTGAATGAATGATATTTAAGCTTTCTTTTTCTATGTATTGCCAGATTTAACCACTTACGATACAGTGAAACACTACTTGGTTTTGAATACACCACTGGAGGACAATATCATGACTCATGGCTTATCAAGGTAAGACTGTTTTAGTTTGTCTCTTTCTATTTTTTCCTATCTCACCCTTTCTTCCATATTTGGCATAAGTTCTAACTTTTGTCTCTTTCGATTGAGAACCTACTGATATCACCCTTAAAGAAAGGCAATAGTACATTTATAAAGAGCAATTTTCTTAAAAGTTTGTTGCAGCTAAAATGGGGAAGGGAGGGGCAGAGTTGCAGAATGTTTCAGGTTAAACCTCCCCAAATATTTGCACCTTGATGGGGCCATCCCAGGGTCAGATTCTGATAACTGATTCTCCAACTCAATTCAATGGGTACATCGGAGCATCTTTTAGGTTAAAGGCACTGTGCAAGGCCCTGCAGTGGATACAAAAGGTAAACCACACTCCTTCCCAGGGAGTGTACCAAGGGGAAAAGCAGGACTAGTGTAAAAAGACTGTACAGTAAGTGCTAAAAGAAAGGAACTAGTTACTGTAGAGTTGGGGTGGGAGGTGCAGAGAGAAAAAATAACCGCTCAGAAGGGCCTACGAAGGAGACAGAATTAGATAAGTGTTTTGAAGGGCTGTGGCTTGTGACGGACAGAGACACGATAAAGAAGAGCACCCTAGGAAAGAGAAACAGCTTAAATTCTTTGCAACACAAGTTCAAATTATCCATTAGAGTGAGTTAACTTTATAGATGTCGAGGGTCCTTATGATTCTATTTAGCTTCTGATCTTGTTTCCAAATTCTAGACCCCTTTATGCTATTTAGACAGCCCCAAAAGTTTGTGAGTAGTGCCAAATTAATGATATTTGGAGATATACAAATAGACATAGATATAAACGATTCCAAATTTCAGGTTCACCTTCACTTAATATTCCTAGAGTAGTTTTTCTTCATTCTTCCTCTTTTAAAATAAGTGTTATCTTTAGTGCTGCTAGGGCAATCTTTCGGTCTTTGCTCAGCTTTCTTTCACATTCCGAACTTTCCTCCAGGTGTGTTCACAAGCAACACCATATTTTCTGTGGCCAATAGTCCAGCCACCTCTTTCACAGAGAAGACTGAGGATTTTAGGCCTCTGTCCTATAAACATCTGTAGATATCTGTACCCACCCTTACATTCTTCCCTTCACTATCTTTGTCCATGCTATTCGCTCTGCTTGTGAGACTCTAACCCCAGTTTCTACCCAGTCAATCATTCTACCCATATCATCTTGAGAGATATTCTTGTCTTTCAAGAGGCTTGTCTGTTCAGTGTTATGATCTATTCTCGGAGCAGGATATTCAGTTCTAACAGCCCCACAGTGACGTTACCTCTTGTTTCTTTTTCATTGTCTTTCTACCCAAATGGTCTTCAAAATGCCACACTTCTAACTTAAGATTCAAGAATTTCCCAGCAGGTGTAAGTCTGCCTAACGGACCCGACTCCACCTAATGGATCTGTCTTTTCTGGAAAGACATAGGATTTCCCATCACTGTGTTCCAGCCCTAATCTGAAATAACTTCGTCTTACTGTTCTCTAAGTCAGGTTTTAAGAAAATGGGGTGACTGGTACTTGGTTCCTTCTGGAGCTCCATGCACTGGATCAGGTTTTTAACTGGGTTGGTAGGAGTCTGTGGGTACGTGAGGCAGCTTGAAAGTCGCTAACCACAAACTCACAGCTAAGTAGGTAAACAGTGCTGTGCGATCTGGAAGTTCTGCAGGCTGTGTCACAGGCTAAAATGAGCGATCGTGGAGGTTTGAAGGGGGTTGCAGCTGTGCCATCGAGAGACTTACACGAGCCGTCGGCGTCTGAGGGAGAGGAACCTGGTATGAAGAAGAGGAGTAAAAGTGGCGCAAGCACTGAACCATGTGCTTAGAAATGGCTAAAATGGTAAATTGTACGTTATGTATATCTTACCACAATTAAAAACAATAGTGTTAAGTAAAATGAAGTTCTGGGGCAAGGGAGGAGCAGCAGAAGACTGTGGCTAGGATTTTAGGGAGGTGGGGAGGCAGGTGGCAAATTACGTTACTACGGGATGCAGCAGAAAGCTGGGGTGTTGAATTAATTCAGGAAATTATACAGAACAGAAAAGCCAGAAAAATTCCCTCTTCCTTCTTTTTAAATCACGAGGCTGTTGAGAGGTAAAACTGTGCAAAAGGTTAGCTTACACTGTGTGAGGACCACAGTTGAGCATGATTATTTCGTTGATCCTGAGGGGGATTGCTGATTCTGACAGTTGCTGATGGACTGTTACAAACTAGCCTTGCAGATGGCCATCTGGTCTCGAGAGAACAGAAGACTTACCCAATCACTCTCGGTCCATTATCACTTTAGTCATGTCCTGAGCCTCACTTTGGGGTGTTACTAGCAAGGAGTGATAAAGGTCAATAGCAAAAAGCAGCAATGTTCATGCCAAGTAGCTTGATGAAACTGACGTTCCTTTTACTCCTCTCTCTTCTCACTTTGACCATCTTACCTGAGGCCTCCTTAATATACTGTATGCTCTCTTTTAATATTTATTTTTTAAAGGAGCCTAGCCAGATCGCACTACCTCCTCAAAACAATTTGATAAGGAGAGGATGAGGCAGGCCACTGGCAGCTGCCCCTAAGGTCTCTGTGTGCCAAATGGGGCGACAGTTGCCAAAGGGCGTTCTTGATGTGGTTATTATACAGGTAAAAAGAAATCCTTTAATAGTAAATTAATTAGTTAATGACTACTAATTAATGAGGGCTACCTACATTTAAAAAATAGAATTTATTAATAACATTAACACTCTGGTAGAAGTCGTTACTACTCTTGGCACTTATGTGTGAAGCTGAGCTGGCACCCAGCCTCTCTGAAGCAAATGGACGAGTAAAAATGTAGTGTTTCCCTCCAATCTTTTGAGCCACGAGGGGGAAATTGTGTACCTTTTGCTATCCTATTTCTTTGTTCTTCCTTACCTCTTGATTGGTCTTGTATGCTGTTTCTAGTAGACCTAAGTTTTAGAACGTAGGTGAATTTTGTGTTAGTTGAGACATTTCTATGTAAAAACGTGAAGGTATGTTAAAATAAATGATATTAAACTTGGACTTGCAAAGTATCTGAACAAATAGGAAAGAATGTTAAAAGAGCAGCAGTCTACACCTCCTGGGATATACATGGTGAAACAGTAAGTTCTTTCCACATAGGCAATGCCTGTCACGTGGACAAAGGCCCAAGAAAAGTTACATGCACGGTCGGGTCATTTGCTGGAAGATGTAAATAGGCCATATGAGCTCCTTCTCTTGAATTCAAGAATTCCTAAAGTGAGTTTCTACTTTGAACAATCAATCCTGACCTGAAAGAGTCATAAAGAGCTTGGGGACTTCCTGCTGCAGCAGTTTAGAGTAATAGAGTGTGAAGATTCCTAATGCAGCTTCAGCCTCCCTACCACAGAGCCTTCAGAAACTTCAAAGGCCTTGCTTGGCATGGAACTCAGTGATCCTTATCTCTGGGAGGTACTTGATGTTCCAGAAGGACATAAAAGTTTTCCACAGTTTTTCTTTCTAGCTTTCCACTAGCCCAGTCTGACCCCCCTGATCCCAGTCTGTGGACTTAGCTGCCACCTCCTGGGTCCTGGGCCTTCCATTTCCTGTGACTCAGGATAGCCACCCCTCTTCTCGTCATCTGTGTTTCTCCTGGAAAAGTTTACAGCAGTTAATGGGTTCTCGGGTTATGGGATGTTGATAATGTTCCTGTATTGCCTCGCTCATGCCCACATTCATAATGAACTGATGGTGGTCTCTGAACTGTTTAGACACTCATTTACAGAATCTTGATTTACTCTGTAGTGGGTTGGCCCCATCCATTTTGTCTGTCTTGAGTAACTGACCAGAACCCTTTCTCAAGAGGGGGTAATTATGAACCAAATTATGTGATTCCCCCACTTAACGATCCTTTCAATGACTTCCCTTTGCATGGAGAATAAATCAAACTCCTTAAATTAGCCTTCTCTGCCTGCTTCTTTAGTCTTTCATCTGGCTGGTGAGAAGGAAGGATCTATGTCGAGACCTGCCGTCACCCACCAGCCTTTCCATGACTGCCTGTCACTCAGTTACTCCCTATCACATGATCTCATTTTATTTTTTTCATAGCACTAACCACATCTGAAGTTATTCATTTCTCCTCTGCCTCTCCCAAGTGCGTGCCTTGAGGACAGGATCTTATCTGTCCTGTTTACTGCCTGCAAGAGTGCCTGCCTACAGCAGATGCTCAGTGTATATTTGTTGACTGGAGATGCTTTTTTTTTCCTACCTCTTTAATGAATTAATTTATCATTGATTTTAAGTTAAAACAGCATTATTATGCAGAATATTATAGTACTAGATTTACTATTCCATTCTTTCTAAATATCAAATCCCCTTTCCTTAAAATTTAGAAACTGCTACACATTATCTTTCGATTTCATTTATTTGTATCCATAGTTTATGTTCTGGACTGGTAGCTTCTATTCTGGGAACACCCGCTGATGTCATCAAAAGCCGAATAATGAATCAACCGCGAGATAAACAAGGAAGGTAGACAGAAAGTCTTCAGTATCCATGGATCTGAATGTCTGTAATAATATTGTTCTTTAAAGACCCTTCCCTGTATTTATTCTTGATGGAAATGTATTTTTGTCTTTACATGTGTTCAACCAGGAAATTGTTTTTATGCAGTTACCTGCTTTGTGTTTGATGGAAAAGTACTGTGCCTTTCGGGAAATAAGCTAATTTACCCATCGTATTATTTAGACACAAGGTGTTTATTATGACTTTGTGGTTTTCAAAGCGTTTTTGAAAATATACTCTGTTGAGAATTTCCAGAGCACTTCCTTCAGAAGCTTATGACTTAGAGGTAACACGGGTAATTTGACCTGATATAAAACAGTATGTTCTCTCTGGAAGAGATCAGGTGGAGTGAATTCTAAGTTATCAGACCAAGGATGGGGTGAATCAGGAAACTCAACCTTGAAAGTATCTTTAAACTCAAAAGAGGTGCTCTCCATATAAAGAACCACAGATATTATTTTTTCTAAGCTAGCAGAAAATAGTTAAGTAAGTTTTCTTAGACCATTTAAACATTCTATCTATACATCTATTTACACATAAGAAATTTAACAAAATTGTCTTCTTTCCTTTTTAGGGGCCTTCTGTATAAATCATCAACTGACTGCTTGATTCAGGCTGTTCAAGGAGAAGGATTCATGAGTCTCTATAAAGGCTTTTTACCCTCTTGGCTGCGAATGGTAAAGTTAGGTTTTTCCTGCCTTTGTTTTTGTTTTCTTTATATTGATTCTTAAATCACTTTTCCTCTCTAAATATCATCCTTTTCTCTTCTGGCTTTTGGCATGGTTCTGCCCCCCATCATGGTTCTTTCTTTCTTTTCTACATCTCTTTTCATTTTCTTTTACCTCCAAGTCCCTTGGTAGATTAAGGTAAAATAATTCAGTTACATCAGAAATGAATAGGTTGATATTACGTTGTTAGAAAGCCAGTAGATAGATTGTTCTGAAATGTAAAGCCTTTTGCTATTTAGCCAAAATATTATACTTTGAGACAGGTATACAGATTTCGTACTAGAGATCATTCCTATCAAAATGTTACTGTTTCAAACAAAATTAGTTACTTTGATGATAAATGTTGCATTACCCATTAATACTTACCACCACAAAGCTCTGCTTAGGAAGAAAACATTATATAATTTTTATTTGGTCTGGATGCTATTTTTTATTGAAGTGAACTAAGATGTAGAATTAGATAGACTTATGGAAGTAACATAACAAATATAATAAAAACAAGGTACTCAAGTATTTGGTAAGTTTGAACTTATTTGAAAGAATGGATGAGTTATGGGTTTAGAAATTCAAACAATCAATACTTTACACAATATGATATAATAATATTAACTGAGCACCTACTCCATGCAAAGCCCTGTACTCAGTGCCTGGCTTTGGGATGAACCTAAGAGTCTCAGCCCCTGCTCCAGTGCGGGAGTTTCCAGTCTAGGTCAGGAGCTTCCAGTCTAGGTCAGGACAAACACTGAGTAAGAAACCAGCAGCAATGAGTGGAAGAGTCGGGGGCATGGGTTGGGGATCCCTGGTGTTATCAGAATATGTATAGCAAGTTAGGACAGCCTAGCCTGGGAAATTAAGAAAACCTCCTTGGAGAATGGACTTCTGAATTGAGATGTGAAGAATGAGTAGGACTTTGCCAGGTCAAAAGGGCAGAAAAGAACATTCTAGATGGAGGAACTAGATGGAGTGGACAAAGAATATGACACATTCAAAGAACTGAAGAAAACCCAGCTGTCCAAGGCACGGAGCTGTGGACGTGAGCAGCACAGGGTGAGGCCAGAGACAGGCAGGGACCGGATCAGGAAGGGCCACAGGACCCACGAGAGTGAGGGGCATTGGCTTGATGACGTGTGCACTTTGAGCAAGACCATTCTGGCTGCCATGTGGGTTGAGGAAAGACCAGGAGTAGTGATAGATGACAGATAATGATAACTTGGACTGGAATATAGCAGTGGGGACAGAAGAAGATAGAATTTTAAAATATTTAGGAGATAGAAAGGAGATAAAAAAGAACATGACTGGATGGGGAAATGGTTGCAGAAGGCAAGGAAAAGTCGGGCTTCATTCCCAGATTCCTGCCCTGAGCAATGATATAATTTCCTAAAATGGGGACCCTTTGCAAGGAAGAAGATTTTGTGGCAGAATAACAAGTTCAGTTTGGATATGGTAAGTTTGGGATACTCATAGGTCATCTAAGAAGAGACGTCTAGATGACTAGCTTAATATATTGGCCTGGATCTTAGAATCATGAGGATGGAGATTGAGATTTGAGCACTGTCTACACACAGATAATAACTGAAGCTTTGGGGATAAATGACATCACCAAGGGCAGTAGGTATCTATCTATTAACCTGAAATTAACAGCCAAAGCCCTTGGCAATATCTGATACAAAAGCATACCTAAGTTGTGAAATACAATTTTGATTGTCTTGATTGTACCTTGAAGTTATCTCAAATCTGTGGCTATTTAATGGAAAGGAAGATATTGACTTGGCCTGCATGAACCAGGCACTATTATAAGTGCTGGTAACACCAAGAAATAAGATGTTTATTTTTTTTTTTTTTGCGCTAGAGGAGCGTACAATGTGATGGGAGAAGATAGACACGTAAGTAGTTAAAATTACAGAAATTATGAAGCTAATATTACTAAATCACTTGGTATATGGCCAGTGCTATGCTAATCATGCTCTCAGATTAACTCACTGAATTCTCCCAACTATCTATTTAGTAGGTTACTATCATCTCTCTCTTCTACAGAGGAGGAAACAATATCGTAAAGTGTCTGAATAACTTGACCGGTCCGGGTGGTTAGTAACTGTGGAGCCAGGGACTCAAACACAGGCAGTCTGACTCAGAGGACCTAGTCTTACTAAAGAGGCTACCAGTGCTGTGAACAAAACAGGAGAACACAGATAGTGGAGTAAAATGGCTTGAACTCTTTGGGAAGTCCCAGAAGGCTTCCCAGAGGTGATATTTGATCTGAGCTTTGAAGGATCAGTAGGTGTTTTCTGGATCAGTAGGTCAAGAAAAGCATGAGGGGGCCACATGAGCAGGGGCAGCAAGTCATGTACGGCCCCGATATGTCTGGTGAACTGCAGAAAATTCCGTGCGGCTGGACAGTAGGTCCTCAGCGGGCAGGCGGTGGGAGAGAACGCTAGAGGAGCACTTAGGGACCAGGCTGAGAAAGATCTTGGGGGGCAAGTTCAATAGTTTCGGTGAAACTCTGCAGGTAGCAAGCATCTGTTTGAACATGGAAGCCATGTGCTAAGATTTGCTTGGGGACAAGACTACTGTGGCAGCAATGTCAAAGCTACGCTGAAAGCTAGAACGCAAGAAAGGGCGTTTCGGCAGTGGTCTAGCCAGGAGATGATTGTAGAAATGGAGAGGAGATGGATTCCAAGAACATTTGTGCTTGACTCCACAAGACTTAGTAAACGATCAGATGGAGAAAGGGAGGGAGGGAGAGAAGGAAATGGGACTTTGATGTTTCTAGTGTGAGAGACTATGAGGACGGGTGAGACCACTGATGAAAAACAAAGTCGGTCAGGAGAAGTGAGGGGCAGGGAGAATATCACGTACAAAGAAGCGCTGAGACCAGCTGATCTGACCAATTCTCTTTATACATGAGACTCAGGAAGTATAAATGACCCCAAAAATGAGTGCTTAATATATGACAAGCTCTGTGCTAAGCTCTTTACACACATTAATTATCTTTTTAAGTCTTACAAGAACCTAGTAGAATAGGTGGGGTTATCCTCCTTTTTCAGATTAGAAAAACATGGCTCAGAGTATATAAGAAACTCGCTCAAGTTCATGTAGCTAGTAGATGGCTGAGCTGGGAATTAACTGCAAGTTTGTTCAACTCTAACTAAACCCATGCTCCTAACTAAGACAGTATACTGAATTTCTCAAGATCCTACAGCTCATTATAGAAGTTTTAAAAGAAAAGAGACAGGTCGTGGTGATGGAGAAATGTTACCAGAGACAGGCTGGATTACCACCAAAGATGACCAGGGTGGCACTGCCTTGTTGATCTATCACAGTGCAGAACCCTGAGCTTAGAAGCCTAACTCCTGAGCACTTCCGAGTAAACTGGCCTTGCACATACAGATACCCTTCAGCCCAACTCGTTGAAACCGATGACTGGACCACAACAGTGGCTCAGCCACACTGAGAAATACACTTGGCCAGTGATCCAGATGCTGAAGTCCTCTGGACAGCTAACTTCAAGCTATATGGGAGCCAAATTATAATCAGAAGGTTGCTTGCTGAACACAGAACAATAACAGGAAGAGCTTATTTGTGAACTTAATATTGAAAAAGATACACCCAGGAGCACTTATGTGTTGAGCCCCACAGTAATAGGAATGGAGAAAAACTTTTTTTTTCCAGCAGTTATGACAACATGGGTTCACATACACTTGGATTATTTTCGGTGGTACAACTATGCCAGTGAGGAAAAAACAAGTAAAAGCATGTACTGGCCACATGCGCGTCTACGAAGAGTCTCAGTATATCCCGTTTATATACCATGCGTGCTATTTGGCTATATGATCTTCCTCTAACTCCTCTTCAAAACCCAGCTAAACCCAATCCCAGTTCCTTCCACTAGTTAGAGAAAATATGACCTCGCTTTGCTCAATCCCTGATGAATATTTATTTCATTTGCATACAGTTTGGGTGCTATGAAGAAGTCTGATTACCAGGGCAAGTAGGAATGATTGTCTAGTCCATTCTTAACTAAGACCTCCGCTTCTAGATCCAACTGAAGTCATATCCTTGGCTCACTTCATTTTTATTGTCACAAGACTGTGGTTTCATCACAGCTTCTTTATTTTGTCTGTGTCTTTGTACATTTCACTAAGATGTCTTCTCCTAAATCCACTATTATATTCTCAGTCTACCAGTATAACTTGTGCAATATTTCCAAACACGAATGACATAAATATTGCTTTACAAACTTTCTAACCAAATACATTTTACATTCTAATTGCTTAAGCTTATTTCTCCACTCTGACGCGATCAGAGTTCCTCGCTGATCAATATTACCCATAACCTATCAACCAAACCAGAACTGGATCCGAGTTAAGAACTGGATCCGAGACACACTTTCTCTGATGGCTACTTCCAGTGTTTCCTCTGTGATTTCCCTCTGTGTCTTTAGCGTTTTTATCCTCTGTTATCGAATAATCCTCATTCCCTTATAGTTCCTTTTGGCACAGTTACATCTTCATAGTCAGTTCTTTCTGAGTTAAAAGCCCTTTTCTCCATTTAATGTGAATTTTTATATTCATTAGGTGATACACCAGGTGTTGGTCTTATGACCTAACTCTCAAAGGATAATCTTTCATCTTCACTTTCAAGTTCTTAAGCGCCCCCTTGTCATGCTCCATATGTAAACCACATGTAGAGGCAAGAAGCCCAGCCTAGAATTCAGGCATGCTGAGCCCTAGCCTTTTATCCAGTAACAGTCAGTAAAAGGAACCCTGGAATGGAAGCCAGAAGCCCATGGTCTAGCTCCACAATGTGCTAACAGGCATCTGATTGCCAGGTCTTAGTGTCCTCATCTGTAAAATAGGGATATCAGTACCTTTCCTTTCCATTGTAAATTGTTCAGAGAAATCTGTGAGAAATAAGACATGAAAATGCTTTGTAAATTATAAGGTGCTCTACAAAGGTGAAATACCAAAATACTTGTTTTCAGCCTAAGTGGATTCAAAATGAGTTCATCATTCAAAGATGTGTATGCATATGTTTAGAAGATTTATAATTGCTTTGAAATATGCACTAACTTCTTTGGTTAATCTTTCAGACCCCTTGGTCACTGGTGTTCTGGCTTACTTATGAAAAAATCAGAGAGATGAGTGGAGTCAGTCCATTTTAAGCCCTTAAAGATGCAGCCCTTAAAGATACAGTGTTCATTATCATTGAAATGCGGGCATCTGCAACATACACCCCCTATTATTTCTACCTCTTTAGGACGACACCTTACTCCACAGAGACTGTGATTTATAGGGGGCAGCACTTTATTTTTATCTGGAAACCCAAGTTCTCTTTGACTCCTCTTTTTGTTCGAAAGCAATCTGATTGGATCACACAAGGCCTCCCAATGAGACCCAGCCCAGTGTTTTCCAAGGAAGAGTCAAATCCTGACCACTTACCTTGAGCAAGAAGATTCGACCTTCGAGATGCTATTCTATGCTGAAGAGCTTGCTTAGAGGAGGAAATGCCGGAAGGGAGACAGCATCTTAGACCTGAAGCAGACAACAGTAATGTGGAAAAATACATACGTACATAATGACCACGGAACATATTTAACCTGTCATGTCAGTATTTACGACTGAAATTTGATAATTCACTTTTCTGTTGCCGTTAAAGTGTGCATACTTTAAATTAAAGGGAGGTGAATGAATAAACATTTTGAGATTTCCCTAGTGTTGAAGGAAGTTGATGTACCTTTTCTTGCCAGGAGGATGAAAAAAAATCAAGTTGAGATGATGTTTGGATCTCAAGGGAAGAAGCCGTTTTCCGTCAGTGCCCTGTCGTTAGTTGATCTGTGTTCACTGGTTAGCTCTCCAGCACACAGGCTAAGGACTTCCTGACAGCCACCGACCACATCTTGATGAAAACAGAAAAGAGTGTTTGCTTTGTGACATATCCCATTCCAGCTTGAATTTGTCACTAGCTCTCAAGAATATCAATATATGAAAAACGCAGTTTATTTGATTAAAGCTCGGGTGGACAGGTCCTTTTAATAAAGAAACATCTGTTATCATCAGCCTCTCGGTGGCACGTTAAAAGCAAAGCTAAGATGAAGTCAGCCGACATAAATCTTTTCTTAATCTCCCCTTCCCTAACGCTCAGGGTCCTCGAGAGAGAGAACTCAGAAATCACACTAAAGCTGTCTCTAGCCTGAATGTTATTCAATTTGACAAAGCCTCCTGCCTAAAAAGTGATAAGTATAAACTGCTTATGGTATACAGTTAATGTCTCCAATCACTAAATCACATCCCTTTTCTTAGAAAGGTGAGAGATTTCTTCAGATTCACCTCTATACCACCTGTTCCCCCCAACCTCAGACAGTGGGCATTTCTGGATGGATGGCTACAGTTATGGGTAGAGGCTGTAACTGTGAAAATAGGAAAACCCCAAAAGCTCAGACCCAAGAAAGACCGTGGAGCTGACCAAACAGGATTTATCATGGGCATGAATGATGTGGAACAGAAAAAAGTTTACAAGTACCCTGTGGTTGCACTAATGTATAATCACTGCCATTTAAGAGGGGAAGTATGCTTTAAAATATATTTTAATGTGATGAACTAATATGCAGTGGTTTATTGTTTTTGTAGAATTTATAGAATGTGAAGTTTAATCTCTTAAAATCTTTCGGTGGTCTACTTTTCCATTGCATTTGTCAGTCTGTATGAATTGAGTTGTTAAATATATTTAAAATAATATTATGTACTTAGGTTCTCAAGTGTTCTGTATTTGAACCACTTTAGGAAACTTTGTTTTTTGTGTGTATTTTATACATTTTTAAATCAAGTAAATATTGGATCAAAATAATCATATGCAAACTGGACCGTGAAAAAATTTATTTAGCTTTATTCTTTGAGGGGCTTGAGGTAAAAACATTGCTTACATAATGAGACTATTACTTGGTGTCTGGATTCAACACGAATAATTGGATTTTTTTTAACTGGAAATGACTCCTTAGGATGGTCTGGTTTAATTCTTTCATTGTCTAAGTTAGGAAACTGAGGCCTAGAGAAGTTGAGTTGTTCATGCTCATAACTTACTTAGTAGCAGAGCCAGGATAAAGATACAGACCTCTTAATTATTATTACAACTGACAGTTATTGTACACTGATTAGGTACCAAGTAAATGCCTTATGTTATGTTATCTTCACAACATCCCAGTCCAGTGCTATTGAATCTTCCAAAAACAGATTTTTTCTTTATGGCATTTCTTGTCTTAGACATTTTAAATGAATTTGAATTGCCTTTAGGATACATTTTAGAATGGAGTCACCATACTTTAGCTAAAACATAGAGACCCTCCAGAATCTGACCAAATCCTGTAGATCCAACACATGTATCCTACCACAGTTATACTTTTCCAGTGAAATCATTTTCATTTTTGTATCTTGGAACTTTGCTTGATTTTACCAACTTGAAATCATCTTGTTCCTCTCCAAAATAACCCACAGTAAATAAAAAGAAATGAAATTTCAGTAGTTTTGTGTCCATCCTGAAAGCCAGCCATTTCAGCCTCACTTTCTTATAATACAGCTGTTGGGGGCATTTATCTTCAGCTCAATATTGATAATACTTAACCTCTGAGCTGCCTTTGCTTAGCTTCCCCATTTTTTCTCTTTGCAAATGATTTTTTTTCTCACTGAAAGATACACATGTTCTTATTTTTAATTATATACAGTCCTTTGTTTTTTATATGTATAAGTGAATTAGCATATCTATCTAAATAAAGAGATAACATTTCTTAAATTCACTTTTAGTGAGGAATAATGTGTCTTTATCAAGTGCTCCAAATCCTATTTAATTATAAGCCACTAGTGGTAGGACTATTATATAAATCTCTACTCTCATTAGTAGCATTTCTTTGCTATTAGGTACTCAACAAAAGTTACATATGATGTGAGTCAATTAATTTTGCCTTCATTATTTTAAGATCTGTACCTATCATAAGACTAGTCTGAAATTTCTTTCACTTTGCCAAGAAAAAAAGGAAGGAAACAAATTCAGGGAGGTTTTAAGTGTAAAAAAAAATTACTTTTCTGTCATCTTCAAATTTTTAAGTATAACCATTTAGGTACAATTGAAATAGTTATACATGTCCTTTTCTGTTAATGAAAACAGATTCCCTCAGGACCTCCGTTGGAAAAATGTTTAATACTTGGTGGTTAAAAACACTGAAGGTGAAAATAATTGATTCTCTTCTCCCCAATTAAATCAGACCTCTTTAAAAATGATTACCAAACAAATATATATATATATATATATATATATTTTTTTTTTTTTTTTTTTTTTTTTTTTTTTGG